GGGGGTATGGGGGGGGTCAGGGGGTCTCGGGGGGGTCACAAGGACTCAACAGGTCCCGGGGGGGGTCACAGGGATGAGGAGGGGACAAAGGCCCCGGGGGAGTCCGAGGGTCCTTGGGGGGGTCACAGGTGCCCAGGGGCGAACAAAGTTCCCAAAACCGCAGTGGGAACGTCCCGGAGGGGGGGTCCCGGTCCAACCCCGTGTGGACCCCCGAGCACGGTGTGGGGGGGGTGGTCCCGATTGAACCTGGGGGTCCCGGAGGGTGGAGGGAAGGGTGGGGGGGTCCCGGGGGGGTCCCGGCCCCCCTTACCCAGGTGAGCAGCGCCCCGCAGCCGTCCCGCCCCGCCGCCATGTCCGGCCGGTCCTCCAGGGGCACCGAGCCTCGCCCAGAGCGGCCGCACCTGCGCCCCGCCCACCCCCGCCCGCCACGCCCCGCCCCGCCGCACCGGCGGCCTCCGGGCCACCGAGTCGCACCTAGAGCGGCCGCACCTGCGGGATACGCCCACTTCCGGCCGCGCCCACTTCCGGCCAGCCGCCAGGGCCATAGAGATGAGAATAGAGCGGCCACGCCTGCTCGCCACGCCCCCTGGCGGACACGCCCCGGTTGGAATAGAAGCCGAGTCCTCCAAGGTCATAGAGCTGCAGCCAGAGCGGCGCCTCCGCTCCGTCATGGCGCCCGGCGCGGCCCCGCCGGTGACTCATGGCCGCGTCCCGCCGCCCCCGCGGCCGCGCCCGTCGGGCCCCGCCGGGTCGGGGAGGGTCAAGCCGGGCCGTTCTCGCCGCAGGGAGGCGGCGACGCCCGAGCTGCGTCAGCGCTGAACCCGACGGCCTCGCTGAGGCCGGAACACAACTCCCCCCCCCCCGCAGTGTTCTCAGTATGGTCCTGGAACTGTCACCAGTGCTCCCAGTATGGTTCTGGGGGGCATCCCAGTGTGCCCAGTTCTATCTGGAATCCCCCCAGTGCTCCCAGCATGGCCCTGGGGGCATCCCATTTCTCCCAGTTGTATCTGGAATCCCTCCTTTGCTCCCAGTATAGGGCCAAGACCCCCACCCCAGTGTGACCCCAACACCCTCCCAGTGCTCCCAGTTTGGCCCTAGAACACCCTGGGCCCTCCCCAGCATGTGCCGTGTCCTCCCCCGGACATCCGGGGCCCCCCCAGCCCGAAACCCCGGTGACGGTTGTGGCCGTTGGGGCCCCCGAAAGTCACTTTGGGTGGGGGAAAAGACGCCCCGAGGTCTCCCCAGGATCAGGACCCCTCCCCATTGTGCCCCCAAATCCCCTTCTACCCCCTCTGTGACTGGGGCACGCCAGTGTTGGGGTTTCCCCCTCTCATTTTTCATTCATTTCACCTCCCCCCTTTCTGCTCCTACAGCTGGGGGGGAGCCAGGTGTGACCCCACCTGTGGCCCCTCCTCAGGGGGATCGCCGGGCACCTGAGGGTCCCCCGGAGTGGGGGGAGGGGGAGGTCACTTCAGGGGCTGGGAGGATTGGCAGGCCTTGAGTCACAAGGAAGGAGAAGTCGGGAGGGAAAATCCAGCCCCAAAATCCCCTAAAATCCCCTAAAATCGGGGAGGGGGAGGAGGGGCCCGTGCCCCCTCGGGAAGTCCCGGGGACCCCTCTGTTCCTCCCCCCTGCACACACATCCCCACATGTGCACACGCGTGTGCGGCCAGCCGCGCCCTGACGGGCCGGGACACGCCGGGGACACGCCGGGGACACGCCGGGGACACGCCGGGGACACGCCCGAGCACGGCCCCCCAAAATTAGCCCCGGCTGGGGCAGCTGGAGGTGCCAGGGGATTTCGGGGCGTTCTTTTGGAGGGTCCTGGGGCGCCTCGTGTGACCCACG